ATACAGTATTTGGGGGGAGCTTTTGCTTTTTTTAAATTTACTTTTACCCATGAGACAAAGCGTCCTATGCAGACAGTAAAACACAATAAATAAAGAATTGGTGTAAGAATTCATTTGCAAACTTTTTGTTAATTTGGACCATTTATAAAAGTAAAAATGCAAAAATTCATCATGAATTCATGGAAAACATTTCTAACAATTTCTAAAGCTTCAAATCTACAAATTTGGGAAAAAATGTAACTCAAGAACTGGATGGATATATGTATACAGGTGAAGAAAGAGTGGAAAAAATGACTTTTTCCATTCCTAATTTTTTTTTTCCCTTCTCAAAAAAATATTTCAAATTTCACACTTTTCCAAACATTTCTGAAAGCAGGCAGGAAGTGACGTGATTGATGTTCTGTTGGCCTTTAAAAGAGAAACAGATTCAGAAAAGACCTCCGTAAATAATAATAATAATAAAAAAAACCAGTCTGAAAACACTTGCGTTGACTAATTGGACCAGTAGCCGTGGTGATGGAGTGACATCATGTCGTCATAAACAGGTGACTCATCCGGTTGGTTGCTCATGGGAACGTTTTAATTAAATGTCCACACCCATCCTGGGCTGCAATTAGTTAGTTGCAGTTGAGGGGCTGTTGTCAATGTTTACGATGTGTTGGGGGTACAGGAGGCAGGCCTGTTGTTACCCCTCTGGGTCAAGGTCAGAGGTCAAGGAGCGGGGAGGGGCTGACCAGAGCAGAATTGAACAACCTGGAGGAAATGATGGCAGCCAATCTTTATGCTGTGACTGTTTGTGTGTTACTTTCACCACAAAGGTCATCTGGTTGTTTTCAGGCCTGTCTGGATTTGACAGACAGGAATGAAACGTGGAGAGATTTTAAAATGGAAGAAATGGAAACACAGATTAACTCCTGCTATCTTTAGGGCCCAGGTTTATGTGTTCATCAACTGCTTTCCATCCGTTCAAGTCCTGTGGCAACGCCGTTCCAAAAATGTTTGCCACGGTGGTAATACTCGGAAAATACTTGGTATCTACTTAAGAAAACTTTGAGAAGCACTTCTTTACACAATGAAACACCTCCTGTAAGAACTTATACTTTACCTTGAATGCTTTTTGTAAGATTTCCACTACGGGTTGTAGCATTAACTTGAAGTTCATACGCAGTGCGTGCTTGTGATGGAAAATCAAACTTGATATATGGAACAGATTCTAATGGAAGAACATCACACTAGACAAATAACTTAAATTTAATAAGTTTAGCCAACAGACTCGACATACCATGAAGATGTATTGGCAGGTCCAAAGTATACAGGACAAAAAACTACACAAACATACACTTACAACTAAGGGCAGCATCCATGCTCTGTCAGAAGCTGAAGAGTTGACACTTAGTCATGGGGTTGCAGGCCGTTCGTATTGCACACACCATTTGTACACGATGTAGACCATTCCAGAGACACTCCTCCCTCTTCACACCTTACATATAGGTGTTTCCTGAAAGATGATAGTGACAATTTCATAGTTTCACAAGCCGCATTCCTTAAGGGGCAAAGTCTGGCAACTTTTGGATATGTCCCCTGGTTTGATCCTCTTCCCTCCCCTCCATCCAACTCTGTTGTTGTGTCCTTGGGAAAAATACTTTGCCCACCTGGCCTGCTGCTGGTGGTAGGGACCGGTGCAGTCTGACCCAGGGCAGCTGTTGCTACAACCCATTAGCTTGCCACCATCAGTGTGTGAATGTGTGTGTGAATGGGTGAATGACTGAATGTTGTGTGAAGTGCTTTGGAGTCTTCTGGACTTGATAAAGTGCTATACAAGTAAAGTATGCAGGCAAGCTCTACGGAGCTCTGCTGATGGTGTGCTAGAAGTTGGCCTGGACTGGAGTTTGAGATCACTACTTAAGATTGACTAGTTAACCTAACATACATGTTTTTAGACTGAGCGGAAGCAGACGTACCGGGAGAAAAGCCATAAATGCCCCAGGAAAACATGCAATCTCTATGCAGCAAGACCCTGTTGGTAATTTAAATTCAGGACATTCTTGCTGCAAGGGAACAGTAATTTTGAATAGTCAAGACTTAAGGTGCTTCCTCCCCAGAGCTCTCACACTGAAGGTATGGCTCTGGATTAAACATCTTTCTGTCTCAGCTGTCTTGCTCCATTTTCAGTGTCTTTGCTGAGGTTCTGTGTATAGCATGTTACACCTGCCTTAGACTTTGATTCAGCGCTCTGATGTCAGGTTTTATGGAGATGTATACATTTTCTTGATATGAGCCTGATGATTCTCTCTCCAGACTTGTGAATACAAAAGGATCTCATATTCATCAAAGGGACAAATGTTGCTACCTCCAGCTTGTTTTGTATGAACCGTTGCAGCAGCTGTATGATCAGCCAGCATTCCACAACAGCCCAGGAGGAGATGGAGTTGGACAAGAGTTTTCTCAGAGGGGTTCCAATTTATCAGTACTGAGGGAGGACAGTTGACACAGCATTCATCAGAGCCACATCCTGCTTCAGCAGTCTTTTCAAGAGGGAGCTTGGAGCGTGTGTAAAACCTCACTGTGTCTATAAAACACAGGCACAGGAAAATATCCTGAATCAGACAGACTTAAAAGAACAACCCATCCACCAAGAACTGTGTGCTTCACTGATTCATTGTGTATTTGTTTTCCAGTTTATGGTTTAAACAAGAGGAACACTTCTTGGACACCAGTTGCTTCAAGGCATTTCTCTTTGACAAAAGCAACTGGTTTGGTCAACTGAGAGAGAACCCAGTGGATGTTGGAGCCTGTCGAGTAGTTTGTCTGATTCTACAGTCACCACTGAATAAATATGAATACTACTGAATAATACCAGAACCATGAAGAACCATACAGGGCAAATAAGTAGGTGTGACTGACCCCATGGGGTAACACTGGTCTGTGACACATAGAACAGACCGCTGATCGTTCTGTCTGAACAACGTATAATCATGAGATGATGTCGACATGGTGACGCTACTGATGTCTACGACTGGTTGAAAGGTGGTTGGGGTTGACAAACTGGGAAAACCAAACCTGATTTTTAATGCCTTTGGATGGAACCCATAGGCTAAAAAGATACATTTCACCATATTCTTATGGGCTAAATAAAGACATGGACTGTCAAACCCTAAAAATAAATTGAAATGACATTTCTTAGAGAAACGGTTACCTGGTCATTTCCTTTCCACGCAGTTCTGCTTGATTCTCATCTCCCTTCAGTGCTCCATCTGGGATTTAGCCCTTTGAGTAATACAAAGAGTTATGTATCTTTTCTGCTGTATAAGTAAATATCTGGCTTTAACTCTACATCAATGAACTCTAGAGGCTTACCTAGCTCTATCTGTAAAACAGAGTTCCTTTGAGTAAACTTTTCACTGTCAACAGTGACCGTAACTTCCAGCTTCCCTTCAGACAAATTAAGTGACTATCAGTTGTTTCTGACACAGCTGGAGGTCTATTTGTCCTGGTGTTTACTGGGGGCTTTTCTCTTTGCATTGACGCATGTAGTTGCACTGGCCTGTTACCAGGTGTGAAATTGGGTTAACGGTAAGGCAAGGCGCCGCCGAGAGCCAACATGTGCCTCGAATCTGTGCTCTGAAAGTGAAGTCAAGATGTACGTAGCAACTTAAGAGAGGAGGGAATGGGGGGGTGGAGGGGATGGGGGGGGCAGGTGATGTCATGCAGTTGGTTTGGGACATTTTATCACACATGGTTTCTATATCGGTCAGCTGCTGTTTAGCTGAGAGCATGGGAGCGGACCGGACCGGCTTCTAAATGAGACATGTGCAGGCACATCTGCAGATAACTACCGTCGGCCCGACTCTGACTCCACATGCAAACCTGTTCTTATTTAATTTCACCTTTACCCAACAAGCTACCCAACTCAAACGAACAGTGTTAAAAAGGCCAGAGAGTCACAGGGGTCCTGAGCGTTTGCTGTACTGCCCCTTGCACTGCTAATGGTTAGCTTAGCTGTACTCTCAGGAGAGGAGCAAATTATTCATCGGCTTTAAAATACTTTCAAGCCACATATTTAATTTTGTCAGTAGATGTCTAGAATAAAGCAGGGCAACATTAGGTTCAATGTATTTTTTTGTAGCTTGTTTAAAATTTTCAGAAGACTATTATTAGGTATTTATATTTGACTATTAATTTTCTGAAAGGGTAACTCAGAATTCAGTCAAGTAGATAACACTCACTTTGTGTGTTCATCTAAAATAAATCCAGATTAGTTTGTCCCTAAGTTTGAAAATAACATTAAGTCCAATAAAATTAACCAAACTTATGTATCATTGAGAATCATTTTTTCTGAAACTTTTAAAGGCTTGAAATGTTTCCTTTGGGTTGTCATTTATAAAGAAGAATATTATTATTTAGACAGACAGTTTAGATTGGAGGCTGTGCGTCATCAGTGACCTTCCTGAATCAAACAAAAACAGAACTGAATGTAAAACATTTCCAGTCAGAGTAACTGTTTAATGTAAAAGTGGGATTAAAAATGTTAATATTATAGTGGTTAAGGATTATATTAATTTTTTTTCTCTGTCTTATTTTCTATTTAGGAATCTTCCATTCTCATTTGGTTTCCATGGGCTCTTAGCTCCATTTCCTGTTTAAATAATCATAAGTTCCTGTTTAAATAACTACCTAATGCTAATGCGCTGATGGTTGAAAGGTTCATAAAATACCGTCTGCATGGACTTTTTTTTAGATTGGAGTTGTTTTAAGATGATCTGGCTAACACTTTGAACCTCTGGGACCAACTAATCTGGATTTATAGGATAAAAACACCAAGGAGGGATGACCTGGAGGAAAGATGAACTGTAAATAACTTGAAGTACCAACCCTCCCTAACCTGTTGCTACACACTGCCAATCAAAAAGCATCAGCGCTTTTCTCTAGCTAGAGTTGGGCCCAAAACTATTCCTATTGCTGGTAGAGTCTACCAGAAGCTGTGGAGAGAAATTAAGATTCGGGATGCATCGAGGTCCGTAGCCTCTGTAAACGGGGCTTTTTAAAGCTAAATCTGCCACTGAGCTGAACAATCCGAGTCTTCGCTCATCTTTTTACTCACCTTTATGGCTCTACAATGTACTGGTGAACATCGGATCAACAGGTAGCAGACAGAAGCCAAAGACTTTCAGTTTTCTCCCTCAGAGCAGCTCCTGTTGCTCCCCAGCCTGTTTTTAACATCACATCATTTCATCGTTTTGCTCAGATGCATACAAGCGACCCGAAAACAGGACCCCAACAACGCCACGGTATTTCAACCCCACTTTTAAAATAAATGCTGAAACTGTCGGTATTTGCAGAATGCTATTAGCTGCGTAGACAGAAAGAAACATGTGCCAAGTTATTCTTTCTTCCTTTTAATTTCATCATCCTAACTGAGCGATCTTGTCTTGTTAAAATTCACGGCACAGTTTCAGAGCTTTACCAGAAGCCGTAATTATGACTCGCTGCATGGAGCGGGCCGTCCGAAGGCAGAGGTCGCTCTGGGTGAGTTCAACCAAAAACGAATGAATTCAGCAGCCGCAAAAACACGGCTCCACAAACACATGGGCATGCATACAAATGCTTCTCTCACGTTCTTGTTTCAGGACGGGGGTTAAATTTGTTCTTCCATGTGACGAAAAGGTTCAGTACAACCAGCTGACCCTCAGTTTCCCTGGCTACCACCGTTTGCATACCTAACATGGCTCTAGTCATGTAAGCACAATCAGCAGGACCACCGCACTCCACAGGACGAGGTATCCACAGCACTACCAATATGGATGAGTGTGTCTGCTCTTTAAATATGGTTTAGTTGTTTGGCTATGAACCCAAAACCTAGTTTGAGCTCAAGTTTAAGAGTTGTTGGACCAAACTTTTAAAACAAATGAAACCCAAAATCTTAACACATTTGTATTCTGCACTCTTCGAAGACAGGAAACATCAACACATTCCCCCTTCTTTAGTAACAAGTTTCCTGTGAATGTTGCTACATGAATTGACTTTTGAATGTTAAGAGAAGCAGCGTGATATTAATCACTTTCAAACAGCATAAACAAATGCAAGCTGCTAACAGAATGAGACGAGATGCTCTGCACGCTCTTTACCTGATCGCTAACGTTGGTGGTGGCGTATGTAATGCACCAGCTCAATGAAGCTCACCGGATATTGCGTCCGCCTTAACAGACACAATTTTGTTACCCCAAGTCTTCAGGATTGGGGCCACAACATCTTTACCAGCAATAAAATGTCTTAAACATTCCTCCTGCTTCATTCACTTCCTTCGCTGCCATTGCTAAAACTACAGGCAGACTACAATTCTAAAAGCGCAGGACTCACAACTTCTGCTTCCGTTTGTTGATTGACCCGGTTGAAATTCAACCAAAGAAATTGATCTCAATTGTAAGAATCCCAGACAGATCACTGAAGGGAAATGAGAATCAAGTGGAACTGTGTAAATAGGCGCTGGCCATTATCAATCCTGAAAACAAATGTGCTTGTTGACCTTGAACACCTTGAAGAGACCTTGAAGAGAAAGAACTAGATGTGTACGGACACCCCTTTCTCCGACTGGTACAACACCACCGACATCATGTTTGGATTTTACTGGAAGTAAAACATGTTTCTCTGTAAGGAAGACAGAGAATCAGAAAGCAGAGATGTCTGTCTGTGTCTCAGGCATTAGGTGGAGACAGATTGATGTATTGAGAGAGAGGGGGAAGAAAACGATCAGAAGAAGCTGAATGCAGAAGACCAGAGAACATGATCAATAAAAGAAGCAGCTCTGCATTTGATCACAGTCAGTCAAAGTGGACCCAGCAGATAAGAGCTGGAGCAGACATGTCCAACACACCTACACAGTCTTCTCTTTGAAATCTTTATTTCCCAGGGCTCTCCTTCCAAACACGCTCCCAGAAACACGGACTGGGCTGAACTTTCTCCCCCTGGGTCAGGCGGTGAAAGAGGAACAAAGTGGTATCTATGTTCTGCCGTTCGTATTTGTGTTGGAGGCGCCACGCGTCCTGAGCTCCATGTTGGCTCGAGGTAATTACACCAATACACCACCAATATCCCCTCCCATTACTGCTCTCTAATGAGTCTTACTGCTAGTACACACACACACACACACACACACACACACACACACACACACACACACACACACACACACACACACATACACTACTTTGTCGGGGCAGTGGAGCCCAGTGACAACATCGGTTAGCTTCATCCTGTCACGTCAGGCTTGCTTGTGTTATTCTGCAGTCAGGTTCAAATCCCCTCCCCAGGTTTCATCGGCCGAGTGTCACTTGCTGTACGTGTGACAGCTAAACTCTAGTTATGACATTATTCAGAAATTTTATTACAATGTTTGGACATATTTATAAAAAAGAACAAAGCCTGGGAAGTAAGAGAAGTAGAGAGACGAGAAGAGCAGAGAGTTGAGGGCAGCAGTTTGGTTTTTAAAGGAGCAGTGTTGTGTAAAATTGACTTTTTTGTTATAATGTTATTCCGTCATTAAAAGCAAACATACCTGGAGTGTTGTTTAAAGGGTTTGAGAAACCCTTTAATCTCCATGGCAACCCTTCAGCTGTCCAAAACACCTGAGTGGACCTAGTCCTGCCTTTGATGACAAAACTCCTCCTGCAGTTTGTGAGCCTCTGCCTCACAGAGCTCCCCTCCACTGACACCTCCACTCAGCTCCTTAAGACTAGCCAACATCATTTAGCAAACACCTGCTGAGCTCATTATGCGAGCTGTGTCTCAGTGCAGAGCTGGTGAAAATGTTGTTAAGGAGTCAATAGAGAAGATATGTTGTGATGACTACCTGAAGGAGGAGTTTCAGAAAGAACTGGAGTTTCTTAAAGAAAAAAATTACAAAGACAAGGTGAAAAATTACAAAGACATATTTGATATAGATTTTTCTAACTGAAAATAACAGTGACATGATTGTGCTATAAAACGATTCTATCTGGCTGGAGAACACATACTGAGCGTTTAACACTTGATAGTCTGACAGACTTGGTTCTTTTGTGGACCAAAACTGGAACATTTGTTCCATTTCAAGCTGGTGGTTCACATTCACACGGTACTACGTATATCAAACCGATTTTTGAGTGACCTGTTCCCCTCCTAGCCTGTGGTAGCGCTGCACTGAAAGAAACGACATACAAAGCTCTGAAGAAGACAAGGAGCACAACTTCCTTCTTCACAACATGGAAACAAAAATGGAGTAGCGTCATATTTTAGTGGTTGGAGGATTTTTTTGGGCAGGAAACCATGAGCCATTTCTCCAGCTAGCGCTAGACTCATTTGTTTGGTTGAAATTACCCAGAATGCTCTGTGCTATAGTACTTGCATTGGACAATTACCAGTGCACATGATTCTTAAAGTGACAAATGCTATTGCTAGCGTCATGCTAGCATCCTGCTTGGGAATGCTGAATCATTTTGAAGCACTTTTTTTTGTCAGCTTATCAAATGGAATCCTAATAAAACACACCAATGTTTTTTTGTTGTGATAAAAAGTCTAAAAATGTTTAAGAGCTCTGAATTCTTCTGCACAGCACATTCGTGCTCTGGTAAGTCTCAAGACATTCGTAGCTGCATGCGTCTCATTTTTGGATTCCTGCACCAAGCGCGCTCTTTTGATGACTTGATGTACTTTCTGTTCTGTGCTTTATGGCTTGGAAAGGTCCAATAAAGTAATAAATGACTGATGAAATATGCAGTCAGATTCCATCACCGCACTCCCGCGTCTCATCTGCACAGCACGGATCAAAGCCTGGTTAACCGCCCTCGGTTGCTGAACGAGCACAGCCTGTTTGTACCCTTCAGTCCCTGGGATCTGGAGTGATTTGTCCTGTTTAAGCCATAGCAGTAGATCATAACTCCACGATAGTCCCCCTGCGACTTCTGTCTGAGCAACCGAGATTTGAAATTGGGAAATTTCAAAACGCAGGAGAAGCTAATCCTGTAAATCTGAGAAACTGGAAGTTGCTAATCTAACATTCCAAAGAAGTCATTTCAGGTGCCTTCATTTACTTTTCATCAAATCCAGTCCTAAGTCTTGTTTACTTGAGTCTGTGTTACTTGTCTTACACTTCTGAAGATTTTTTTTTTTACCTTTTCTGTTTAATGAGCTCAGGCGCAGAGGAACACATGTGGAAACGCCGCGCCAAAGATGGGAAAACAGTTCTGGAGACAGCGGGGTCAGATTTTACATGCTGTCTAATAGCAAATCCAGCTGACTCAAGCAACTGATCCTCTTCTTTTAAACCACACAACACACACCACACACGCTCATTACCGGGCATGCTGCAGGTTGTTACGTAAATCAGACTGTGTTTAAAACGCGCGTTGAAGCTCTGCAGGGGAAATGTTTAAAGGCCATATTTGCAACTGGCAGTCATGTTGTGGCTCAACACTCACTGAAAGATCTGAGGCATTACATAACTGAGTGAGGGAGCAGGACGGCCGGGGAGCAGAGTTTTGGCTCGAGTCTCATGTGAGTTAGACTCTGATCTCTGGTTGGTGCCGCACATTCAGCTGCAAATTGGAAATATTCTAATAATGTGTGCCAGGAGTTTATTTTGCAGTAACTGGTTTGTCTGGAGCTACTTTCATGCAACTTTAAGATTCATCTCTTCTTCAACCTGAATGGAATCATTGGTTCATTGCAAGAATGGATCAATACAGTAGATCATGAGAATTAGGTTTCCCTGGTGTACATAATATCAACAAGCACTTTTTGATGAGTTTATTTTTGGCTCTAGTGGCTTTTATTCGACAGTAGTTGCATTTCCTTTAATAAATATGCGCAAACCTTTGCCTATATTTTGCTAATGTTTAAAAAAAACACAACTTTGCAATTGCAGTGTTTCCATGAAATACCTGATGAAATTAAAATCACATGTGAATAAGCTTGTTCAAGCAAGAAGTCACTAAAAATCATGGCGGCCATGTTGGAGTCTTATTCAGGTCTTCAAGCGACAAGACCCCCTGTACTCGGGAGCAGCTAAAAAAGTGAGTTTTTCTTAATTTTCAGAATTTCAGTTTGCACAGTTTTATTTACATTAATGGAAACGCAGATGGTGATCTGACAGCCTGTCGTAATAAATCAATTAACTGCATGGTTCTGTCTATAGAAACTTCACTTTCCATTTTAATTATTTTTGTTGTTTTGGTTTTATATTGGACATTTAAAATGTTTTCCAGTTCCAGTGTTGAATGTTAGTTAGAAATTACATTTTTTTTTTTGGGAGGATGTTTTGCATCATCATGTCATTTCCATTATATGAGTTGAAAATGGTCTCAAGACAACAATATTATTGTTTATTGCAATAAGTTCTGGGGCAATTTATCAAAATTTGTTATAGTGACAAGCCTAAGCCATTTTCTCTAAAAAGGTTTTAACATAAGGCATTTCAAAAGTATTTATCACCTTCTCAATAATGAGAGAGAAACTCCTGGTGGAGTAACAGTAACTAAGGCTCTCCTGTTCAGACAGGAGATCTAATCTTTAAAGCTGTTTATCTGTCAGACTCATGTTGGGACGTTAATATCGGTTCCAGGAAAAAAGATTATTTGCAAAACTAAAAGTTCATGTTAACCCTAAATCTACCAGTTGTATGAATAATTTGGCCTTGTGTTCCTTACAGTGCGATCTGTGTTGCATCCCATGGCCAAAGGAGCCAGTTCTCATTATAAGTGCTAACAGTTGAGATGGTTTTTTTTTTTTTTTTTTTTTTTCTTTAGCGAGTTAACTCACCACATGAATAAGCCTGGGTAAGCAGGGGGATAAAGGGCCCATGTGTACTTTACACTAACTATAACTTGCTTCATTAAAGTCCACACGCACATGTGCAACCTAATCTGGCCGGATAATACG